ATAACCCTAACCCTAATCCTGACCCTAACCCTAACTATAACCTGAACCCTAACCCTTACTCTCAACCTAACCCTAACCCTGAACCTAACCCTAACCCTGAAACTAAACCTAATCCTAACCCTAACCCTAACCCTAACCCTAAACTATAGCTAACCCTATCCCTAAAGCTAACCCTAACACTAACCCTAACACTAAATCTCACCCTAACCCTAAACGTAAGCCTAACCCTAACCCTAACCCTATCCCTAACCCTAACCCTAACCCTAACACTAACCCTAACCCTTACAGGATCTACGCGATTGAGCGAGCACATGTGAGCGAGCACATAGGCGCGAACGAGCGCGTTTTGTTTAGAGTATAAATATAAGTAATGTATTGAGTAATTTAGGTGCATGGGTTGTTATCGTATAGGACAGTTAGGGAATTTGGAAATCATAACTGATAGGACTTTAAGTGCTTGGGAGGCTCATCTATTGAAAGTACCTCATCTTCGTTGTTGCCAACCAAATAAGGAATTGTTGCTCGGGGTTGAAAGGCGGTTGTTTGCATTGATTCAACGTATTCAAAAGACTAGACGGTTTTGTATAGAACAATATGGCAAGATTTGTGCGGAGGAGGGCGAGATACCCGCGGTTTTCTATGGCTCTTCGCAGGAGGAGGATCTACGCTCGTAGGCGCTTTAGGCGACGGGCTACTCGTTTTGCTCGTCGGTTTCGTAAAGGGTTGCGGTCTCGGTTTGTCTGTCGTAAGTTCATTAGCGTCATTGATGTCAATACTGATAGGGCCGATTTTGAAATAGCCCCTAAGGTGGAGGATTTCAAGCAAGCTAAATGTTTGCTTGATTTGTATCGTCGTTTTCGGATTAAGGGAATTAGCGTTCGGTACCGTAGTGATATACGCGGTGCTATGGCTACTTGGTCAGATCTCGGTAGTGCCTGTGTTCGGTTGGGCTGTTCGCCTATAGCCTATAAGGGTCAGTATACGCAATGTTCGGAGACCGACTGTCTACGTATCAAAGGTTTCTATAGAGAATTTGTACTTCAAAGAGATTTCGCAATTAACCGCAAAGCATTATGGGTCAACGGAGATAAGCCTGAGGCTAAGCGTAATCCTCGGTCGGCGGATCCTAAGCTTCCTCATTACGGACTATACTTTAAGTTTTGTAATCTAAGCCCGGAGTATCAAGCTAAGGTGAAGCGCGCTGGGAAACTTTACACAACTGCCTATATCCAATTCCGCGATCGTAAACTAGCCGATTAAATAAAAAAAAGACAATTGTGTACATGAAGTTTATTGCACACTAAAAAAATAAAAAAACGAATTAAACAATACATTCAATGTGTTNTACACGACGTAAAAGGGCCCGGAATTGTTCAGAATAATGGTTATAAAAATGGGCTGGGGGAAAATTGGAGGTTATAATAATAGTCTTTGAATTAAACTGTTTCGCACCACCTTTACATTGAATCAACAAGGGATAACGATCAAACAGTTGTAACAAAAAATCAATAGACCATTGTCCATTGTAGTCATCAACAATTACCACTTCTTGTTGTTCGTAGTGGTCCCACCATTCGGTTGAGTTCTTCCAGTATGTAGGCTTAGCCTCCGCCATTTGTAGGGCCTTGCTTGATTTTCCTGTTCCTGTCTTCCCGTATAGCCACCAAACCTCCGTTTTAGTGCTTCTTGGAGTAGAGTGGCAAGGTCGAGGGGGTCCCACCATTCGGTTGAGTTCTTCCAGTATGTAGGCTTAGCCTCCGCCATTTGTAGGGCCTTGCTTGATTTTCCTGTTCCTGTCTTCCCGTATAGCCACCAAACCTCCGTTTTAGTGCTTCTTGGAGTAGAGTGGCAGATGAGGTCGAGGGTGCGCATGATGTTATTGTAGTTTCTTGCGAATAGGTTTGGGTATTCTTCAGCGAGTTGTTGGATACTTGTACCCTGTTTGTACCGATCAATGAGCTCTTGCATGTAGTTGGGTTTCTTCTCCTGGGCCATCGTCTCCTCCCTCGACTCAATATTAGTCCACGGGCCATCAATTCTCGTATCACTCTTTATGCAATAACGTCTGGCTGCGATTGGGTTTCTTGCGATTTCGACATGTCCGTGGGGCAGGATTCTTCTGACCTGGGAACAGGTTTTGGTTGTAGGGTAGTTGAGGTAGATTTGGTAGTGTTCTGTTCCTGCCTCGGTTCCTCGTCCTCGTTGGATGGCATAGCGTAGGTTGTTAGCCACGGATCTTTGTACCAGCTCATTTGCGGTCTCAGTAGGATTGTTGTAGGTGACAATGAAGTTGCGACCTTTCGGTGCTCGTCCCGCCATAGTATGATTTGCGGTGCACGGGTGTCGGTTATTATAGCCCGTCGGTTGTCAATGGCAACAACCCTTTGGTTCAAAATTTCTAGGGTCCCACTGCGGTTTGAACTAGCCAATCAGATTGCTTGTCCTGGTTCCCAGACATACGTGTTGTTCGCTTGACTGTCTGAGTGGGTGTGAATGAGACCGGTTAGGGAGGGTCTAATTTAGGGTAATAAATTAACCCTAAACCTAACCCTAACAATAACGCTAACCCAAATCCTAACCCTAAGACTAACCCTAAACCTAAACCTAACCCTAAATCTAACCCTAACCCAAACACTAAACCTAAACCTAACCCTAATACTAACCCTAAACCTAACAATCAACATCACCCTAACCCTGAAACTAAACATATCCCTAACCCAAACCCTAACGCTAACCATAATTATAAACCTAAGACTAAACCTAACATTAAACCCAAACCTCAAACTAACCATAAGCTTAACCGTAACCCTAAACTTAACCTAAACCTAACACTAAACCTAAACCTAACCCTAAACCTAAACCTAAACCTAACCCTAAACATAAACCTAAACCCAAAACTAACCCTAAAGCTAACCCTGAAACTAACCCCAACACTAAAACTAACCCTAACCGTAAACTTAACCCTAAACATAAACCTAAACATAACCGTAAACCTGACCCTAAACCTGATCCCAATCCTAACCCTAAACCTAAATCTAACCCTAACATTAAAACTAAACCTAAACCTAAGCCTAACCCAACACTAATCCTAAACCTAACCCCAAAGCTTACTGTAAACCTCAACCTAAGTCTAACCCTAACACTAACCATAACGTTAAAACTAACACTAAATCTAAACCCAACACTAAAGCTAACCCTAACCCTAAACCTAAACCTCACACTAACCCTAACATTAAACCTAACCCTTACACTAAACCTAACATTAACATAACACAAAACCTAAACCTAACCCTAAAACTAAACCTGAAACTAAACATAAACCTAGAACTAACCCTAAAACTAATCCTAACCCTAAATCTAAACCATAACATAAACCTAATCCTAAACCTAATCCTAACACTAACCCCAACCCCAGCATTAAAACTAATCATAACACTAACCCTAACAATAAACCTAACCATAACCTACACCTAAACTTAACCCAAAAACTAAATTTAACCCTAACCCTAACCCTAA